GGGCAACTTGGCGAGACCTCGTCTCTACAATAAAACAAAAAATTAGCCAGGCATGGTGGTACATTCCTGTAGTTCCAGCTACTTGGAAGGCTGAGATGGAAGGATTGCCTGAACCCAGCAGGTTGAGGCTGCAGTAGCTGTGAGCATGCCCCTGTACTCCAGCCTGGGCAATAGAGTGAGACTCCAAAAAAAAAAAAAAAAAAAGAGTTAAGTGTCCAGGACTTCGTGAATCATTTTTGTATTTTTCAGAGTGGGTGGGAGTCAACACCACTTACACAAACTGCAGATACCCTGATGACTGACAGCAGGGAGCAACACAAATGAACCGGTGGCAGGAGCACTGACCCCTCAGAGGGATATTTTCTTTTTGAGTTGGGAGTCTCACTCTGTTGCCCAGGTGGAGTGCAGTGGCACGCTCATGGCCACCCCCAGTGTTGACCTGGTGGGCTCCGGCGATCCTTCCGCCTCAGCCTTCCAAGTAGCCAGAACTACAGAAGCACACTACCTTTCCTGGCTAATTTCTGGTTTGTGGTGGAGATGAGGTCTTGCCAAGTTGCCCGGGCTGGTCTCGAACCTACGGGTTCAGGTAATCCAGTCGCCTCAGCCTCCAAAAGTACTAGGATGACAGGCCAAGCCACTGAGCCCGGCAGGTACCTCAGAAGGATTTAAATGAACAGATACATATGAAGCACAATGAAAAAAATATAAAAGAAAAATGATTTGCATTCCCTTTGCTCTATTCTAATTGTCAGGGAGGCAGGAAGAGCGGAAGGATATACACACAGGGATATGACTTGGCTAAGTGTGGACCAGTGTAAAGCCGTATAAAGTATGAAGATAGAATAAGCAAGGGAGAAACTGTCTTTGACTCTGCAAGTCTGAAAACAGAATGTGAGTTAAGCTTTGCATTCTATTTAAACAGCTCACTTCACACAGAAGGAAGTAAGAAAATGAAGGCCAAGAGTAAATTAATTTGCCTTAGACTACAGTCGGTTATTAGAAGTTAAAACTAGAAAACAGACTTTGTTAAAATTTAGTGGACTCTTCAGTAAATTACACAATATCATGAATATGAATTCAAGAGGCAGAGCTTGAGAGAGAAAGGCTGTGTATGATGGCTGTCTCTGGGAACATTTAAGTGAAATAGAGTGGTTATTGCTGATAACCCAGTACTTTTATTTGATAGCTCAGTGCATCATTTAAGTGAGGGTGCTCCACTCTGTGGGAGTCACCTTCACAAAAGAATGGGCAACTTGATTCCTCTTCTCAAAAGGTTTCAGTCTAGTGTATGCTTACTAGCTAGAGCTATAGAGTTACCTTTTGAATCATACCTAAGGCAAAGTCCAAGCTTGTGTATTTTAACTTCCTCTTCCCCCACAATTCTCATCCAAAGCTCTAGTTGGGAATCACTAATAACGGAGAACTATGAAGCTAATTGGAAAGCAGTGTTGACAATAGTTTCCAAGTAGGTTTCACATTTCCATGTTTTTGGATCTTGGCTTGTGGATTCTCTCATTCATTTAACAACTATTTCACTTATATGTCAAGTATTGTATTGCTTCATATGTGTATCACTATAGGAATAAAACAGCGATAGGGTCTTTCCCCATGGGGGACCAGTTTCCTCAATGGGAGAATGCTAAGTATCAAGAAATTGTAAAAGAAAGCCATGCAAAGTACCTGAGAGAACAAATATGGATCTCTATGGGAACACACACAGACTCATTTAGGCTTGAGGTACAGGGAAGTATACTGGAGAAAGTGATTTCTCAGTTGAGAAGTAAAAGAGAATAAATAGAAGACAGCTGTATTTCTGTTGTGAGGTGGAAGAGAAGGAGAGGATGAGAAGCTGGGAAGCAACTTCTAGGTAATGGAAACACCACATCCAAACATCTGGTGAGGGAGAACATAGTTGTGAAATATAGTAAAACAAGTGACGTCAATTCTCTAACTATCTGCTCTTCCAGGAGAGGTAAGTGTTGGGAAAAAAACTTGGGTAGACAAAGTGCCTCCTTAAGGAACATTAAAGAGGATAGACTTTACCTTAAAAGCAACAGGGAGCCACTGAAGAGTCTTAATCATGACATATTTAAGTGTTGGAAAATCAGCTGGGTGTGGTAGTGCATGCTTATAATTCCAGCTACTTGGAAGGCTGAGGTGGAAGGATCGCCGGAGCCCAGCAGGTCGAGGCTGCGGTGGCCGGGAGCGGCCACTGCACTCCAGTCTGGGCAACAGAGTGAGACTCCAACTCAAAAAAAGAACATTCTGAATGCACTATAGAGACTGGATGAGAAAAGAAAACGGGGCTGGGCATGGTGGCTCATGCTTATAATCCCAGCACTTTGGGAGGCCAAGGCTGCAGAATTGCTTGAGCCCATAGTGAGGCCTTGTCCCTACAAAAAAAATCAAAATTTTAGCTAGCTGGGCATGATAGTATGCGCCTGTAGTCCTAGCTATTTAGGGAGGCTGAGGTGGAAGGGTAGCCTGAGGTCAGGATGTTGAGGCTGCGGTGAGCAATGATCGTGCCACTGCACCGCAGCCTGGGCAACAAAGACCTCCAACTCAAAAAAAAAAAAGAAAGAAAGAAAATGGCTGGGCACAGTAGCTCATGCCTGTAATCATAGCACTTCAGGAGGCTGAAGCGGGAGAATCCAAGAGACCAGGCCAGGCAACACAGCGAGACCCTATCTCCACAAATGATACAAAAATTAGCCAAGCATGTGTCCCAGGCTACTTGGGAGGCTGAGGTGAAAGGATCACCTGAGCCCACAAGGTTGAGGCTGTGGTGAATGGCACCATCACTGCATTCTGTCCTGGGCAACAGAGTGAGACTCCGTCTCAAAAAAATAAATAAGTAAAAAGAAGAGATGGAGAGACAATTTACAGGAAACTGTTGTGATACTCCACAGGCAAGCAAAGATAGTGTCCTGAGTTTAAGTACTATCTGTGGTAATAGAATTAAGTGGACTGGTGTGGATATTTTTAAGGGGTTAAGAACTAATTAAATTTGAGAGTGAAAGGAAAGAGGACTTAAAATGATTAAATTTTGGCTTGGGCAACTGGGAAGCTGAAAAAGCCAGCCATTTAGATTCTGAATACAGACAGAGATAATTCAAAGGGTGAACCAGGAGGTTGCTATTTCTAAGGAGAGAGATGTTTGTGGCCTGAATGAGGGATTAATAAGTGTATGAATTTAAGTGATATTTATGAAGTAGAATCAATACGATCTGCTAATTGCCTGAATGTGAGATGTGAGATATGTAAGGAAGATATGTGAGTTTCCCAAGTTTCTGGTTTGGATTCTGTGAATGGTCACTGCAGTACATTGATCAAAAATTCCTCCTATCTTGCTACACATACTTCTTTGCAATATGACTGTCACTCTCCCATGTAAAAATGGAATCTATTTTCCATCCCTGAAATGTGGATTAGTCTTATGACTTGCTCTGATAAATAATACTATGTGCTGGTTGTGATATGTGTGACTTCCAAGGCAAGACCTTTGGAAGCATTGTAGCTCCTGCTCTTCTGGAGTGCTGCCTGGAGACTGGCATGAAAAGAAGTTGGTCTACCCTACTGGAGAATGAGAGGTCCCATGGAGGAGAACCAAATCACTCCAGCGGACAGCACCAAACACGCAAGGCAGTACCTCCTGGACTTTTCAGTTCAGCAGACCTACAAGCTCAATATAGTGAACAAATTAGGCAAGATGGGGTGGGGACAGGGGATCAATAGAGGAACTACCCCACTGATCCACAGGATTATGAGAAATTATTGTTTTAAATCTCTAAGGTTTGGGCATAGATAACTAAAAGTCAAAAAACAGGGAAATCAGGAGATGACAACTTGAAATGTTATTTCTTTTTATCCTTCCATGGTGGTGATGGTGAATGCAAGTGTGCAAAATATCTGAGGATAGAAAGTTTAGGGAGAGGTGTTCCAGTAATTTTTAACTCACCAAATGCCTGAATAACGGAGTACTGGAATGTTAGTTAGAGAAGAATGCACACTTTGGACAAGGTAGCAAAAGCAAACAGGCAAGATGCTTTTAAAACTATGATGAAAGAAAAACAGATGTTTATACAGGTTAACTGTATAGTCCCTACCTCCCCCAAACCTCGGATAAATCAAGTTAACCAGGTCTTTTAGGAGAAAATTTTTCAGTAGGTTAAGCAGAGCTTACCTGAAGAATTGAGCTAGAATAGGAAACATAAAAGCTCTCAGTATACATTTAAAATACTTAAATGTTTATTATTCACATAGCATGACATGGATAGCAAACTTCTCATGAGGCGTTAACTAGTCGTTTCAGGAATGAACAGAAAAGTAAGTCAAAATTAGGATTTCCCCGAAGTTTAAGAACTCATCTATTCCGTTAATAAAGAAAAACGAAATAAAGAAATCATGATATTAAAAAATCATTTTAAAAAATCAATGAAATATAAATCACTCTTTGGTAAGAGAGTAGCTCCTTTTACTGCAACAACATTGTTTAAAACTACAAAATCGCCCTGAAGTGCACACTTGCGGTATGTGAATGTCGAAGGGAAACGCAGGTAAGAGGCAACCGACAGTGAAGCAGAACGAGACCAAGGCAGAGAAATAGAGGTAAACTTGAAGACGTGTGACTTGGGCGCCCCGTCCGAAGGAACGGTGCCTTTCATTTCTGCCCGTCTAAAAACAATCTTCACTCTTGCCAAGCTTTTATTGCTCCCCCCATGCCGCCCCACCCCGTGTGACTTAGATTGTTTTTAGCTGGAGCTGTGTAAGAGCGGGTGACAACCCAAGACAAGAAGACAGGAGAAGACCGCCTCCAGAAAACCGGGGCGGGGAAGAAGAAGGAGCATCCACCGAGGAGCGAAGCCACGTTGCATTCCGGCCTCAGCCGTCGCTGGGGAAGCCCAGTCCTTCCACCCTTTTCTAACGTGGCTCCCGAACAGGACGAAGGTCGCGTCCCTCCTACCCGCCCTGGGGTAGCGACGGGGGTGACCCCCACTCACCGCTTGAAGCACGGTCGCCAACAGCAACCGCAGCCCGAAGACCGGCACAAGCGACCCACCCGGCCCGGCCGCCATCGCCACGGCCTTCCGCAGGCTTCCGCTGCCTAGAGGACCCCGCAGTTAGGGGCGGCCACCCCAGAGCCTGATCCAAAACAGGCCACCAAAGACTGTTGCCATCACATCTCTTGTTTTGCAGAGACGTGTGTTAACGAAGGGCATAGGAAAGCTTAAAGGGGGATAAATACCAAGGCAGTCGCTGGGTACTTTCGAGGACCCAAGTCAGGCACTTTCCTAAACTCCCTACTGCTCTGCATCTCCAGGCGTCTTTCTTTCATTCACGACACTTCGTCACGCAGCCGAGAAGCCCCAACTTCGCCAGTTTCAGCCCGGCCTTCTTCTCCAAGCCCACCCAATCGAATGCCGTCTTGGTTGAGCCCTGTGGCAGAGGAAACCAACCGTAAACCGCACCGAGAGCGAAGCTCAGGGCTTCTCCGGTCCAATGAGCGCCGCGGAACGGGAGG